CGAACTTCGCGTACTTGCAGAAGCCGCACGCGTGGCATAAGAATGGATCTTTCTCATCGTAGTTTATAGCCCTATAGAAAATTTAACATTTATTATATTTTTATTACTTAGTTTGAGGTTTAAAAGTGATCATTGCGGTAACTAACCGACACTTGTGGCATTGGAAGACGTTCTCTCCGCAGTTGGCGCACACGCCGGGGTTAGCAGGTACAGACTGGGAGCAACGCGGACACTGCAGCGATTCACCTGGGATAAAGTTGTTCACTTCGTTACAGATATTGATCAAATTACTATAAAAACTTTGGGGTAACTGTAATTACATTGATAAAATGAGACACATTTTACTGTTTTAACTTTTTTGTAAGATTAGTGTTAATACCGGTAGCTTGTTGATTTTCATAGAAGTCGGCGTACTCCATCATAAGGTTGCAAGCGACGATGGGCAGCGGGAAGTCGACACGCACTTCGGACTGGCCGGATTGAAGCTGCACGCGTTTTGCTTTGTGCCACATTCCTACAAAAACATTTTACAATAAAAAAAGGTAAATTAGGGTAAATTATTTCTGACGTTACACGGATTTACATTTCACTCTTTCATAGTGAATTAAGAATAATAAAAATATAGCCTATGTAACTCACAGATAAACTATTTTTCTAATGAATGAAGAGTTTTTAAAATTGGCCCAGTAGTTTTTACGTGAATCGAAAACATACAAATATAAAATTTTTTTCCTCTTAATTATGTTAGTATAGATACAGATGAACAATGTGTGTGAACTAGATCGATACAATAGTAATATTGGGTAAATTCTCACCGGGTTTGTTCTTGAGTTCCTGCACGGCCTGCACGGTGCGGTTGTTGTAGTAGAAGTTGATGGCGCGCACCATCTTGCCGCGCTTGATGTCGCTGATGCGCAGCGCGATGCGGCTGATGGTGTGGCTGTTCACCAGCTTCACGATCTGCGTCGTCGTCGTAAACTTCGAGTCCATCTGCAGCCAGTCACGCGGTTAGCTCTTATTTAATATAGGCAAGGACCTTACTCGACGCTTCTTACTACCCCCTTTAAAGATTGGGCATCGGTCGTAGTTGATTTAATTGTGGTCCCAATGTTATGTGATCATAATGCATGTTCTTGTTATTCATTTTTTAAATTTTATTTTATATAATTAAAAATATAACTTTTAAACTTTATTATTTTTATGAATAAGGATTAAAGCAAAATAGAAAAATAAACGAACTAAACAGAAATTAGTTCTAAATCAGACTAAAATTCTACAACACAAACAACACACAAAGCTTTACTAAGTGTCTAGAAAAGCCACAAATGTCTCATCATTTACTTCATACCTTCTTATCCTCTTATTGTGGTATTTTAATTGAAGATACAGTACAAAAACATGAATTGGTGCACACTACACTACATGCCAATCTACGAGGTAGTTGAGTATCCATGGTTCCCTCCACATACCTTAATGGTTGGCAGTTTGATGGTGACCATGGGCACCTCGGGGTTGTTGCAGACGAGGCAGGGCTCCGACTCCAGGAAGTACCCGTCCAGCTCCACGTATGTGCCGAGCGCCGCGTACAGCGCCGCGTTGCCGTGCGACGACAGCAGCTCGTTCTGACGACGGAGGAGTTCCACCGCGCTGCGCAGGTACTTCTATACAAACAAAACACATTAAAACACGCAATTTGCAAATAATAAATATTATGAAAGAAACTTTAATTTTGTTATGGGTTGTTATTGTCGAAAGAAATCGTCACTTAAGTAATCGGAACGTACCTCTGTCTCAATGTTAGGCGTCTTAAGTGTGAAGTATCCGAGCAGGTCGACAAACTGCGCCGACTTGCGCCCGTACTGCGGCAGCGTAGGCCACAGCGCCCACAGTAATGACACTATTGACGCCTGCTCTGATTGTGGAGAATTGCTAAACAACAGATTAGTATTTTTAATATCTTTCGTAAGAAAAAAATCTCTTAAAAACCGATAAAATAATCATACTTGTAAATAGCCAGAAGTAGGGCGTGGGCCTGCCAACGAACTGCAGTCGAATTTGTTTCGAGCAGGAATGCTTTGACGAACATCCTCAATTCGTCATGGTTAACCTTTAAACAAAGATGATATTGTAGTCATTAAATAAATAAAAAATAATAATATAATGAGCATCTTTCGGTGTGATTACCTGTTTTATAATCTGTTGAACTAGTATCGGCACTTTTTGTTCTTGGAACTTGGAGCCATCGGACACAAAAGCGTCGCT